AAACTTGTCATAATAAATTCAAGACGACCTGCACGCGAAGTCGAGCACTTTACGGTAGAACAGTTTAACGAGGACCCATACCGCACCGCATACCCAAGTGGTCACCCACCCGCACACTGACTGCAGCCAGTGATGTTTGACTTCGGTGTGCTGTTGGGAACCAAGTCTTAACGATCAGTCCACTGCGGGATGACTTTTTAAAAAAAACCTGATTTATGTGCAGTTATTAACGTAGCATTCCTCACACATTTGATATTATTTTGAAATGTTAGACGTATATTTGTACTGATATTATACGTTATGAAATTGAAACTTTCAAGTAAGATAAAACTTCATGAAAATGAAATAAAGTCGAGAAACATTTCCAAATTAAGCTATAGAAAAAAATAAATTTTCAATTTTTTACTTGTTTTTAGCATCACAATCTTTTAGAATTTCTCAAAATATTACGTATTTTTAATGTATTCGTGGATCAAATGATATCGGGCAACACATTTCATCGAAACTGAATTTAAATTCCTTGGTTTATACTCCGAATTAAAAATATCTCTATTCCATTAAAATTTTATTTATTTAAAAAAAAGGCCCCCGAAGGTAGTGACAGAATTTTTTGAATGTTTGTAATGTATTATTGTCTCCGATTACCCCCAGATGGAACCGTCTCATTACAAAGAAACAAGCTCAGGGTTCTCATTGATTTAATGTATCTAGCAAGTTGAATTGTTAAATCACTTAATATTTAATTTTTGGTGTAACTGTGTTATATTTTGAAGGCATGTTTAAATACAATTAAATTAAAATTAATAAATCAAAATAATCTAAAATATAAAAAAATCAACGTCCCCTCCACAGCGGGCAGCGGTAAAATTATCCAACGTTGATTGGTCCGCGGTGATCAAAAGGTTGGGGAACACTGCTGTATATGACATCGATGACCAGTTGTTTTTCAAAGGTCACTGAAAATGAATGTTATTGAGACTGCAAATAATTTAAGAAATTTTTCTAAACATACTTTACTTTTTGCGAAATGTATAATCAATTTTTAAAAATTTTTATGACTTTTTCAAGAACCACGCCTGCGAAAATGTAAAATAAGAAAAAAATAATTAAAAATAAACGATAAACAGTTCAATTCAGTAAAATAAAAAATATTATTTATTCATTTATATCACATAAAATGAATATGCTATAAATTTTCACAAATGTACATATATTATCTGTATGCAGTGTGACACACTATTGATTTTTATATATCAAATGCATAAAACTATTTACATTCATTCAACATATGTGTGTACACATCTAGAGACAATTTATTCTCAAAAATAGGTGATTATTTAGGTAACACAACAAGTAATATGAATACATACACATCTATACATATATTTTAATATATCGATCACATTCTTTTTAAGTGCAAACATCTTTTAAGGAAGCTCTGAAGTTAAATCAAAGAGGGAAAGCCTAAGAGAGAGAGATCGCTATAACGGGAGTCGCTATTCGAAGAGAGCATATAGAAACACACCTTTGTTTCACATTTAAGAAATATATGTAAACATCAAATACTTTTTAAAAGAGTCGTTTGACAGAGAAATTTGGTAGATTAAGCTCAGTATAAAAATGTAAAAATTTATGCTTGTTTGAACCAAATGGGGTGCCTCAAGAAAAATTTTGAGTGACATATTATAAAAGATTAAGATGACGTTATAACGAGGGAGAAACTTATCATGGCAAATTCTGTCTCACCTTTATTATTATTTTAAGGTTTAAAATGTGAAAAAAGAATGATAAAAGCTTCTTCAAAATATCAAAATGCAGACAAATGACAGTCTTTGGCCAAATTATTATGCAAGATTCTATGTGAAATCTTAATTATTCTATGATACTATACAGCATTATTGTTTTTATGTGACTGAAACCTGTTTGCACTTATTTATGTTCGAGTATCAATGGGTTAACATTGCAATGCAACACGTTAAAAATAAATACAAACAGGAAGCATATAAAAAATTCCCCGGAATAAAAACCCATTACATGTAACTTTAAATATAAAAGTATTGCCTATAAACTCGTGCAAAACATGTCATTATTAAATCACTACAGTATGTCTCATAATTTTATCTAATTATTATAATATACTAATATAATACCTGATATAATAAATATTCTATATTTGTATAATTTATATTCTAATTTATCCAATCGTCGAATTTATATTATATAACGTCTAATTTAATCAATGGATACACAAACGTAAACAAGTGCAAACAGTCGGTGTAAAAAACAATAAAGCTGTATAGAGTATCTTCTGATAATTAAGATTTTACATAGAATCTTAAAGTGCGTCGAATAATTTGACCAGGCACTGTATTGCATAATTATTTAGGGTTATGCAAATTATTGCAAGTTATTAATGAAATTTTTTTTCACCATTTGAAACTTTATGGTTTATCAGAAGTTAATTTTTCTATTCTTCCTATTTTTTTACCAATAGAGGTGAACAGAGGTTAAAATACCAATTAATGGGAAAAGAATTTTACCATGAAAAAATCTTCCCGCGTGATTGTGTCCTCTTTATACGTACTCAATGACAAATTTTGTCTTGCTACCATTTCGTTCAACGATATTTTCCCCTTTCAAACAGTTTTAAAAGTTTAAAAAAGACTTATATATCAATGTAGATTTGATAATTTAGTATTATTGTAAGAAAACTGAGATGGGCACAGTAGGCCTTGGCCCTCCATGGGCAGTCGCACCACTGAGTTTAGTTTAGCTTAGTGTTATTGTAGACAAAAGGAAAAACACTCAACATTGAAATTTGTCAGTTTGTTTTACTTCATGGCCATTTAGAGAAACATTTTCAATTTATTACTTATAAAACATGTTTTTTTAAAACCATTCTTTTGCCCTTGTAACTGTATTACTCGCAAATACTGCAAAATATTAATTATTTTATACTTTTAAATTACAATGGGGTGGACATTCAGTACAATTCATAATCTACAAAAACAATATTGAGTGGTAATTGCATCCATTACATAAGAACACGCAATAAGCATGGAAATATTTAGTTTTCAAACTTAAAACGTTAAAGAAAAAAATCTAAAAATAAACAGGTTTCAGATGCAGTGCAAAATAGGTACGTCTTCTGACAACCTAACCCATTACCATCTTTAACCCATGAACTTTAGCTCATTACCATTATTGCGAAATCTTCACTGGAATTATTTAGATTTTTCTCCGAATTTGAAGTTTTTATAAAATACCTTTGGACAGTTCTACGGTAGAGGAATAATAAAAATTAATATTTTATACAGTTCTTTTTGTTATG